GTCTTCCGAAAGAGAGCCGCACGAGACCTCAGCACCCTCAGGGACCGGGCCTCGCCATGGCCGCAGGCAGCCCCCTCGAGAGCTGCCTGGGCGTGCGACATCCCCAGACAGGAAACACACATCTCATGAGTCTCCCCAGCCGCAATTTAGCGTGGGCATGGAAAAACACATTGTCGGAACTGATTACCAGACATGGTCTATACTGCTTCGTCAGGACTTCCAGGTAAGACAACAACTTACAACTCAGGTCGCTACCATGGTGACCTGTCAATCACAAGATAGCGGCGACTTGTATCCGTGTGTGTGTGTGTGTGTGTGTACACGTTAAATCGCAGTGCAGAGTTGCAGTGGAAAGACAGATGCATGCTTTAAGCCCAGAGTGTGTGTAACGGGAGAGCGACTGATTATGCAGTCACTTTCAAGAGTGTCTTTGAGCGAAACCCCGTAGCTGTGACTTCGGGTATGTTCACTGGTGTAACAGGGACACTGCGCTGCTTGTCATCATAGAAACAGATCATCATATTTTGATAATTGCACCTTCAGTAATATTGGCTGATAGAGATACGTAGCCAGTTTAAAAAATGCCATACATTTTGATAAACTGAAAAGATATAAAGCATGTGATCTAGTAAAACAAATACATTGTTGTTAAAATGCAGTATAGTGTAATAAATATGTTTGACATATGTGCAGTTATTAACATTTTATTTTGAATAGTTCTGTGTAGTAAAGAGGAAATAGAATGTGAGAATAAGGATAATGGTACTGGTTATTCATTGGTCTATGTGGGCGGGTTCAGAGGTGCACAGGAAGAGAGTAAAAATGTACAGAAAATAAGTGGTAGCTGCACTACGAACAACCGCTAAATGTGTGTGAAGTTCATGCAATGTAGTATCTAGTAAGTTGGTGTCTTAAGACTATCAATTAGACAGTCTTACCACAGATTATCATCATGTGTACTTTTTGTGAGAAGTCAGACATTTCTGCTAGATATGTATCGTACAGTTGTTTGCGGCGTATTGTAGCTTGTTTGCTGACAGTGTTTTGTGTTAGCATTCATTAGCAAAGTGAATGGACTCTTAGCCACTGTATAGCTAACTCAGCTGTATACTATTGGCGTAGTTCACTGTTTGATGTGAAAACCCTTAAGAGTTATCTGATAGTTACAAAGCCAAAGCTTAGAGCCACACCAGTTTGGACGCGTGTTTGCACTCCTGTTCGCCACCAGAGACCTAGAGACTTGTATAGCTACAGAGCACGGACAGACCACACCATCTTTGGACACCTGCTTGCCGTTGTTTTACTGGATACCGGGAAAGACTGTTGAACTCTACACAGTGGACTGAACTGTTACCTAAGGTAAAACTCTTTTATTCTGTTGTTCCTTTGAGTGAAGTGGACCAATAGATTAAGTATCGTTGCTCTCAAGCATCGCAACAGGCCTGCAATGAAGCTTGGGGTTTTTATTTTATTTTCATTTTTTATATGCCAGCTTGTGTATGTGTTTGTGCTTGCTGAGGGGGATTAATATAATTGCTTTACCCTGGTATTCAGGAATAGGGATATTCCAAAGAGACTGAATATAAATTTATTTTATTGTTTATGTTAAAGTTGCCAAAGTAAAGTGGGGATTTATTATTTCTAAACTAACCCTGATGTGTTGCATTATTATTCTATGCTTAAGTTATATGAACACGAGGTAAATATTGGTGTGTTGTTGACAAGGTTGTACATGTATTTTATTGCTGCATGCTAGTTACTCCAATGTAGGTTTAGTGTGACTTTACAGAGCTAATAGAAGTTAGATAAGCCTAGCCTAGTGATAGTGGTGTTACAAATTCTTAAATACAGAAACCCAAGGCAATTAAAGGTGTATAGAGACCGAAGATAGAGAGAACCTTATTTTAAGTATTCAGTTAGTAGTTTTTTTGTGTTGTTTTTTTTTTTTACACACCCCTCACATTTTGTAAATATTTGATTATATATTTTCATGTGACAACACTGAAGAAATGACTGCTGGCAACAAAAGTGAGTCCACCCCTAAGTGAAAATGTCCAAATTGGGCCCCAAGTGTCAATATTTTGTGGCCACCATTATTTTCCAGCACTGTCTTAACCCTCTTGAGCATTGAGTTCACCAGAGCTTCACAGGTTGCCACTGGAGTCATCTTCCACTCCTCCATGACAACATCACAGAACTGGTGGATGTTAGACCTTGGGCTCCTCCACCTTCCATCTGAGGATGCCCCACAGATGCCCAATAGGGTTTAGGTCTAGATGTGCTTAGCCAGTCCATCACCTTTACCCTCAACAATAGCAAGGCAGTGGTTGTCTTGGAGGTGTGTTAAGGGTCGTTATCATATTGGAATATTGCCCTGCAGCCCAGTCTCCAAAAGGGAGGGGATGATGCTCTGCTTCAGTGTGTCACAGTACATGTTGGCATTCATGGTTCCCTCAGTGAACTGTAGCTCCCCAGTGCCGGCAGCACTCATGCAGCCCCAGACCATGACACTTCCACTACCATGCTTGACTGTAGGTAAGACACACTTGTCTTTGTACTCCTCACCTGGTTGCTGCCACACATGCTTGACACCATCTGAAACAACTAAGTTTGTCTCTCATCAGACCACACTGGACATGGTTCCAGTAATCCATGTAATTGTCCATGTTAAACTTTCAATAACCAGTATGAGAGTGTGAGAGCTATAACACCAAATTTAACACACCACCATTCACACTAATGGGTCACATGACACTGGGGAGGGAAAATGTCCCAAATTGGACATTTTCACTTAGGTGTACTGACTTGTTGCCAGCGGTTTAGACATCAAGGGCTGTGTGTGTCATTTTGAGGGAACAGCTATACAGACAAGCTTGCAAACTCACTATTTTACATTGTAGCAAAGTGTCCTTTCTTTAGTGTTGTCAGCCAAAGACATAATCAAATATTTACAAAAATGTCAGGGGTGTACTCTTTTGTGAGACTGTATACTGTAGCTGTTTACAAGAAAAGTTGAGTTGAGGACAACTGGACTTGGTTGTAGACTTGGCAAGACAGTTCAGAACTGAAGAAACCTGTTTGATGAGATTTAAAACGTCTTTAAGTATCTATAACAAAGTCCAGTTGCTCTTGATTCAACTTTTATTGGATAACCATGACCTGGATAATTGATAATCTTTACAGATGTATAGGTTTCCCTAACCCTCTCTCTCGTTCTCCCTCTCTCAGTACAAGAATCATAGGATCGTCAGAAAATTAAATCTGATCTAAACTTTGAAACATCGTGGAACACAGTTTCCAAGATAAGATTAGCCTAAAAATTTAAAGGTAGTTGATTATCTGTGAACATGGACTGTGTATGTCCTCAAATGGTAACACCACATTTATCTTAAATAGCGATGTAATCAATTAAACGTGTCAGTGTGCTGGACACAATTCAGTTTTATTTATATAGCGGGAAATCACAACAGTTATCTCAGTTATCTTTTCATAAGAGCAGGTCTAGACCGTACTCTGTGATATTTACAGAAGCCCAATAATTCCCACCAGGAGCAAGCACTAGGCAACAGAGTTATGGGAATACTTGGCTCAATAGAGCTGTGAATCTCTGTCAGCCTGGCTACAGTGCTGAAAAGAAACCTGGGGTTGTTCCTATTTTCCTCTATTAATGACGAGTAGTACGCTGCTCTGGCATTACGGAGGGCCTTCCTATAAGTTTTAAGACTATCTTGCCAAATGAAACGAGAATTTTCCAGTTTGGAACACCAATTCCTCAAGTTTCTGTGATATTTGCTTTAATTTGCGAGTTTCAGTATTATACCATGGAGCTAACCGTCTTTGTTTTAGTATTTTCTTTGTTAGAGGGGCTACAGAGTCGAGTGTCATTCGCAGCGAGCCTGCAGCACTATCAACAAGATGAGTGATTTGGGAGGGACTGAAATTAGCAAAAGAGTCCTCCGTTACTTTGTGATCTGATAATGAATTTAGAGCTGATGGAATCGCATCCTTAAATTTAGCTACAGCACTATCAGACAGACATCTTGTATAGAAATTTTTGTGGCGTGTAGTTCGGATAAAGAGGGATTCTGTGGGAACACTATTAAATGTTCTATTTCAATACCGTATACCAGAACAAGGTTGAGGGTGTGGTTAAAACAGTGAGACGGTTCATGAACACTCTGAGAGAAGCCAATGGAATCTAACAGAGAGATAAACACAGTACTGAAGCTGTCATTCTCAATGTCCACATGAATATTAAAATCCCCTACAATAATAACTTTGTCCGTTTTAAGGAAATTCAGTAAAGTAAAGTGGCCGCTCAAAAAAAGTTTATTTCTCGCCAAGTGAATTTAGTGATTAAACAGCATACAAAAACCGAAAACAAAAACATACTGTTGTGTTGGCCTTTCTGTTTCCCACTCCTTGCTCAAATAAAAATATTAAAACGTTATTCAGAATGGATTGACACAATAACAGTGGTACGAAAATTTAAATTGTCTTACAGTTCTGGGCCAGGCTTTCATATGCCACTGTTGCTCTGCGGTCGTCTTCTGCAGTGGTCTGTGAGACTGTGAAGGGCTCTGTGAGCCTGACTGGCCTGCTGGCTAGCTACCCCCGCAGGCACTGTGGAGCTTCTCAATTCCAGAAATGTTGGAGAACATTTTGATTCACCATCAATAAAATGTCAATATTGGATATTTCTCGCCTTAAACAATCTCGGAAGTGAATTTAGTGATTAAACAGCATACAAAAATTGAAAAAACAAACATACCGTTGTGTTGGCCTTTCTCTGCTTCCCACTCCTTGCTCAAATGCAGAAATGACTGCTGGGATATTTGTGCTGGCAAGTTCACACAAGTAACCAACCGATCATCCTCGGTAAAATAACACTTAAGTGAATTTTAAATGCTTATGGCAAAATGTGAACTTGTGTATTAGGACTGTACTTGGGCCACCACAGATGTTTCACAAGGACACAAGAACACAAGTACAGACAAGAATGCAGATTGAGAAAGGCCCATAGACTTTAATGGTGTGGAGTAGACTGTAGACCGAAGTAGTGGTCTGTAGTAGATCCGTACAGCAGAGTTCTAGAATCCTGCATCAAAGCAACAAAATTATGGTTGGTTCCATTCCGTTGCCTTTGAAGATGAAAACAGGACATTCTAGTGGGATCATTATGTCTCAATAGAGGGTTGATGTCATAACTGCGTTCTGTTACATCATGTGCATGCCCTCTATTCATAGTTTTAAGTCAAGTGAAGTGTTTTTATTTATTTTTTTACAATCCCCGGAGGATGTAACTTTTCTTCACTACACCACGCATTGTGACAATGGTAAGCAACTGATTAGCATTATCCAAACCATTGAAAGTCTGAATGCATGGGTCTTGGAACTTTGACTTTGCCTTCAAAATAGCTACCACTATAAGTATTTGTAAATCAAAATCACACAAATTACAAATTGTAACACGTAGGTAGGCTATTTGTCATTTTAAAGGTAGTATACGCCAATGGTGTCTAGCGTTAAGTAGTATGGCTAGTAGTCAGGCTTTATTAAACATTTGTATAAAGAGTTTATCAAGGACATAGGTTTGTATTTGTCTTGTTGACAAAGAAGTTAGACCTTGTCCTGGATGGAGACACACGGCGGCAGCAGCAAACGCGTCCGCCTTGCCCTCCAGATGACCTTACAAGAGGCTCAGCAGAGCTGGGGAGCGGAGGCTCAGCAGATCTTGAGTGCGGTGAGACACGGCGGCGGCGACTGCGTCCACGTCACCCTGCAGATGACTTCACAGGAGGGGGAACAGACACAGGCAGGCAGGAGGCTAGCTGCTGAGGCACTAGCCGGAACAGGGGCAGACAGAAAAAGGCTACCAACCAGGAGACTAGCAGGAATCAGGCATGTGGAGACTAGGACGCTGGAGCTCAAGGCCAGTGGGCCGGGAAACAGGCAGGTGGCTAGCCAACTGAGGAGCTGAGGTGAGGAAAAAGCTTGTGGCCTGGCTTGGCAGTGAGTCTATTAGCCAGGGGTCCGAAAATGCCATTTCCCGTGCCAAAGAAACAATAGCTTTCCAATAAATGACATTTCTGGCACTCTCCCACATCTTCCTCAACTCCAAGTCCAAAAACAAGTTAAAACTCACATCAGCGCAAGTATCCGCTGGGTCCATTTCAGGCTGGTTCATTCTGTTACGTGTAGCTGTGAGGCTACACGGAGTATCAGGGTATGGACCCAAGGGCAGACACGGAAAATGGAACAGATGCAGTTGGTGAGATTTATTGGGACAAACAGGTGAAACTTGGTGAAAGTGTTGAGTCCAAATTCACAAACAGGGAGCAGCAACTGAAAATGGTCCTTGGAAGGTAACATCCAAAACATGAAACATTAAAACAGGTAATCCAAACACGAGACATGGACCTTAGAAACAATGAACCAGCATTGAGTGAAGCAAACCACTTAAATACAGGTGAAGGATAAACCAATTATACACAGGTGAAAACACTAGACAATCAGTGAGACCCCAACCCAGGGTACCCCCAGGATTCTCAAAGTTAAATTTAAGACCTTTTTTAATACCACCTAGGATGAAATTTAATACCAACTTCACTGCCGTTTGGAAAATCTGTATTAATTTTAAGCCCAAGAAAATTATTCATGAAGTTCCATGAATTTAATAAAACTTTTTATTATAATACATTCATATTTAACACACTACACAGTGTTTCCCACAGATTGACAGTGTAACTGGGGAGTTTATGCCGAATTTTGCATATCCTGCCGAGAATTGCATGAAAATGCATTAAAGTTCTGCTTTTAAACGCTATACTATTCTTTCACTTGACGGTGCTGTTTTTATTCCCCTATCTATCAAGTCGGCAAAAGTCAGCCAGTTATCTCGAACGCACCTGTTGACTACCAGTTATACAGTGTGCTAACTTCGACAGCTTTTTCCAAAGTTAACATAGCTAGGCTCCTTACATGCTTGTTAATAACTGTTTTGAAGATGGGTCTCCGACATTGACAGCGTTGTGTTGGACAGATTTATGCAGCGGTGTTTATGATACCAACCATTCAATTCACAGATGGGTCTGTTGTCTGTTGTTTGCGAGAGAGTGAGAGAAAGAGAGCGACCGAGTGTGAGGATGTGCAGCGCGAATATGCGCTGCAATCAAGAATGATTTTAAAATGGGTTGCCAAATTTACTTGGGTGCCTGTTAATCTACCTGGGCAGCCCGCCCAAGTAAAGCCTATGTATGGGGAAACACTGCTATAGCTTGGGGTGTGTTTGTACTTTGATAAGATAAAATGAATCAAGGACATCACTTTGTGTTGAAAAGTGGTGGGGACATAAGGGTTCAGATTAGGGGTGTCACGATACACTTAGCTCACATGCACGATTCACAATATTGGGTTCATGAGAACAAGACAAGAATATATTTTAACAGTATTTGATGCAATATTCAATGCTGAAATATATTTAAATGGGGGGTCTGGGGGTCCTCCCCTAGAAAATTTTGAGCACTAAACACTTACTTTCCTGCATTCTGGAGACATTTTCTGCACCGATTTATGGTAGAATTGTCTTTATTTAAATAAAGTGAATCAGTTTTCTTATTGTGCTAATAAACCTTTCTCAAAGTATTTTAATTTGTTTTGTTAACATTTCTTGTTGCAAGCCATTTTTCAGAACATTTAACAAATGCTTTAACAAAAATGAAAGTGATGGAGACATGTCACCAGTATCCACAGTGTAAATGACACCTATGAAATGAATACAATGTCTGTGTACTAAGAACTCTTAATTCAGTTTTATTTATATAGCGCCAAATCACAACAACAGTTATCTCTGAGTGCTTTTCATAAAAGAGCAGGTCTAGACCGTACTCTGTGATGAGCAAGCACTAGGCGACAGAGGCAAGGAAAAACTTCCTTTTAAGAGGCAGAAACCTCGAGAAGAACCATGGCTCAGGGTGGGCGGCCATCTGCCTCGACCGTCTTAAGGGGTGAAATCAAAAATACAAACAAATTGTGTGGTACAAGTTGTTGCAATTAGTTACACCTTGACTAGATAAGGTAATGTAATGTAATGTAATGCCAATTGCTTCAGTGATTATTCATCCTGTTCTGTTTTTCTAAAGCATCTACAGGCTGCTTGAAATGTAGTATTATATACTGTAGTATTGGCTTGAAAGTAGCAGGGCTGAGGAGTTGGGCTCCGGTTTGTTTTTCCCTCGTTCCCGTGATCGGTGCATCTGGGTGATGTAAGTTTAATGTGTTAGTTTAATGTTTCCCTTCACATAATGTTACCTTACAACAGCGGCGCAACGCTGACACACAGGCATGGTCCTCGTCTCATACACACCTGTCTCTCCGTTGCTGTTGTATCATTCACTGACCAGTAACCTTCAGCGAGTCTTCCAGCTCTGCTTTTCCATTAGCGCTCACCACAGTGTGACTGGCTCGCACGCCCATCAGCTTGTTGTGCTAACCTCAGCGCCACTGCCCTGATCCTCGCCCGCCAACTTGTTTGTATCTCTGGCTTTCTGAATTTCAGACACTTGCCCATTCTGAGTCGTCGCGCTAACGACTCACGTCAGAGACATTTTCTTTTCTTTTCAGAAAACTGACTGAATCACGCAGAGCTGGATGCCAGAGCTGTTGCACTCAGCAGTCCAGAGCGTAAAGCTAAACACTGACAGTTACCTGTACTGCCGTAACATCAGAGTCACACCAAACGGAGTAAATTATACAGTCACACACACAAAGTATTCATTTATGACGTTAGGGCATTAATTAAATCCTACGAAAGAACAAGAAAAAATGTAAGACCTTGGTAAAATAAATTTAATACTTTGTAAATGAAATTTAATACTTTTAAGGCCTTATTTTTGGAATATGTAAGACTTTTTACATACTTTTAAGACCCCGCGGGTACCCTGCCAACCACAGGAAGTTAAACAAGATGACACTGAAGGCAGGCATCTACAAACTAAAACAGGAAACATTCAAAAACACACACCCACCGCACCAGAACCGTGACACGCCCTCTGTCATTAGCTGAAAAGGCACTTTTCATTTATGATCATTTAGAGGGTGAGGCCAGAGAAGAGATGAAGTACCAGTCCCAGGAGGCAAAGGAGGATCCAGATAAAATATTAACTATTTTGGAGGATCGGTATGGGTGCACTAAGTCTGTGTGTGTCTTTGCAGGAGGAGTTCTTTTCAAGAATTCAATTCAATTAAATTTTCAATTCAATTTTATTTATATAGCGCCAAATCACAACAACAGTTATCTCACAGCGCTTTTCATAAAAGAGCAGGTCTAGACCGTACTCTATGATGGTATTTACAGAAGCCCAACAGTTCCCACCAAGAGTAGCACTAGGAGACAGAGGCAAGGAAAAACTTCCTTTTAAGAGGCAGAAACCTCGAGCAGAACCATGGCTCAGGGTGGGCGGCCATCTGCCTCGACCGGTTGGGGTGAGAGAGAGAGAGAGAGAGATGCCTCGACCGGTTGGGGAGAGAGAGAGAGAGAGAGAGAGAGAGAGGCAGCCTACACAATATACACAGAGGTACAGACAGTAAAGGTGATGTTGCTATAGACTAAATGAAAAATGGTACAGATATTTATAGTAGTGTTAATGATAACAATCATAATGTTAATGATTATAATAACAATAATAACAATAGGACTAGTAACAATAGTCGTTGCAGCAGAGGGTGTCGAGCAGGAACACGGGGGCAGCAGGTGACCCGCAACCACAGATCCAGACTCCACAGCTCCAGAGCCAGAAACACCTGCAGGAAGTGATAGGAGAGAGGAGAGGGACGAGAAAGCACAAGACTACCAGAAAGGGGAGAAGTTGTGTTAGTAACATGCAATAATGGGATGAGGTTGCATACAGAGGGAGAGAAAGTAGAGGAGAGAGGAGCTCAGTGCATCATGGGAAATCCCCCGGCAGTCTAGGCCTATAGCAGCATAACTAAGGGATGGTTCAGGACTCACCTGAGCCAGCCCTAACTATAAGCTTTATCAAAGAGGAAAGTCTTAAGCCTACTCTTAAATGTGGAGATGGTGTCTGCCTCCTGAACCCAAACTGGAACCTGGTTCCACAGGAGAGGAGCTTGATAGCTGAACGCTCTGGCTCCTAGTCTACTTTTGGAGACTCTAGGAACCACAAGTAACCCTGCATTCTGGGAGCGCAGTGCTCTGGTGGGGTAGTAAGGTACAATGAGCTCTTTAAGATAAGATGGTGCCTGACCATTAAGAGCTTTGTAGGTAAGAAGAATGATTTTAAATTCTATTCTGGATTTTACTGGAAGCCAATGCAAAGAAGCTAAAACAGGAGAAATGTGATCTCTTTTCCTGGTTCCTGTCAGAACACGTGCTGCAGCATTCTGAATCAGCTGAAGAGTCTTAACGGACTTTTTCGAGCAGCCTGATAATAAGGAATTGCAGTAATCCAGCCTAGAAGTAACAAATGCATGGACTAGTTTTTCTGCATAATTTTTAGACAGGATGTTCCTGATTTTCGCAATATTACGTAGGTGAAAAAAGGCGGTCCTTGAAATTTGCTTAATGTGAGACTTAAACGACATGTCCTGATCAAAGATAACTCCAAGATTCCTTACAGTGGTGCTGGAGGCCAGGGCGATGCCATCCAGGGAAACTATATCTTTAGATAATGCGTCACGGAGGTGCTTAGGCCCCAGAGCAATAACTTCAGTTTTATCTGAGTTTAACATTAGAAAATTACAGGTCATCCAGGTTTTAACATCCTGAAGGCACATTTGAAGTTTAGCTAACTGATGAGTTTCATCTGGCTTGATCGATAGATATAACTGAGTATCATCTGCATAACAATGAAAGCTTATGGAATATTTCTTGATAATATTGCCTAAAGGAAGCATATATAAAGTGAAGAGGATTGGTCCGAGGACAGATCCTTGTGGAACTCCATGACTAACTTGGCATGCATGGAGGACTCATCGTTAACATGTACAAACTGAAATCGATCTGATAAATAGGACTTAAACCAGCTTAGAGCGGTTCCTTTAATGCCAATGAAATATTTCAGTCTCTGCAATAGGATCTGATGGTCAATGGTATCAAATGCAGCACTAAGATCTAATAAAACCAGTACAGAGACAAGTCCTTTGTCTGATGCAATAAGGAGGTCGTTAGTAATTTTCACCAGTGTTGTCTCTGTGCTATGATGAACTCTAAATCCTGACTGAAAGTCCTCAAATAAACTATTGCTATGTAGAAAGTCACACAGCTGTTTAGCAACTACTTTCTCCAGAACCTTAGAGAGAAATGGAAGGTTAGATATAGGTCTATAGTTAGCTAAAACATCCGGATCAAGTTTGGGCTTTTCAGAAGAGGTTTAATTACAGCTACTTTAAAGTACTGTGGTACATAGCCTGTTGATAGAGATAGATTGATCATATCTAGTATAG